GAGCTCCAAGACAGGATTGTGTTGAGGCACAGATCTGGGGAATGGTACCCAAGAACACAGTGGCCTCAATCATTCTTAAATGGAAGAAGTTTGGAACCACCAAGACTCTTCCTAGAGCTGGCCGCCCAGCCAAACTGAGCAATCGGAGGAGAAGGGCCTTGGTCAGGGAGATGACCAAGAACCCGATGGTCACTCTGACAGAGCTCCAGAGTTCCTCTGTGGAGATGGGAGAACTTTCCAGAAGGACAACCATCTCTGCAGCACTCCACCAATCAGGCCTTTATGGTAGAGTGGCCAGACGGAAGCCACTCCTCAGTAAAAGGCACATGACAGCCCACTTCGAGTTTGCCAAAAGGCACCTAAAGGACTCTCAGACCATGAGAAACAAGAATCTCTGGTCTGATGAAACCAAGATTGAACTCTTTGGCCTGAATGCCAAGCGTCACATCTGGAGGAAACCTGGCACCATCCCTATGGCGAAGCATGGTGGTGGCAGAATCATGCTATGGGGATGTTTTTCAGCGGCAGGGACTGGGAGACTAGTCTGGATCGAGGGAAAGATGAAATTAGCAAAGTACAGAGAGATCCTTGATGAAAACCTGCTCCAGAGAGTTCAGGACCTCAGACTGGGGTGAAGGTTCACCTTCCAACAGGACAACGCAGGAGTGGCTTGAGTGGCCCAGCCAGAGCCCGGACTTGAACCCGATCTAACATCTCTGGAGAGACCTGAAAATAGCTGTGCAGCGACGCTCCCCATCCAACCTGACAGAGCTTGAGAGGATCTGCAGAGAAGAATGGGAGAAACTCCCCAAATACAGGTGTGCCAAGCTTGTAGCGTCATAACCAAGAAGGCTTGAGGCTGTAATCGCTGCCAAAGGTGCTTCAAGTACTGAGTTAAGGGTCTGAATACTGATGTAAATGTAATATTTAAGTGTTTTATTTTAAAGAAAAAAATGTAAACTTGTTTTTGCTTTGCCATTATGGGGTACTGTGTGTAGATTGATGGGGGGGGGGGGACAATTTAATCCAATTTTAGAATAAGGCTGTAACGTAACAAAATGTGGAAAAAGTCAAGGGGTCTGAATACTTTCTAAAATGCACTGTACATCTGAAAACAGCTAAATAACAACAAGGATGCTAAAAACACCAATATTCTGGAGAATAATTCCACTACTTTAGAAAACTTTTATTGTGGCTTTAGACTTTATTCATGAGTATCTGGTTTGTTCTTGGCAATTTCATGTAGGCTACACATGTGAATGCATATGTTGCTAAACCAAGATGAGGTTTCACTTAATGGATGTTTACTCTGAGGGGTAAACCATCTGTTGTGCTGGCAGAGTCTGGAGGTTGGCTACAACAGGGGGCGTGATGATGGAGTTAATGAAGTTGTCTGATCTAAGGACAGTTTTGAGTCCCATCCACCCCAGAGCCATCTGGCTCTGATCCACCCTAACCCTCACTGCAATACCCCCCTAGGATAGGATAAGGGTAATCTGATCCTAGATCTGTGCCTACAGTGTTTTTATGTTTGCAGAAGAGTGAGAGGGATGGTTTCTCTTATATTTCAAGGGGGAATGGAATGATAGAACATGAGCAGTGGTATAGTATCATTCCAGACTGTGGTTAGGACCTAATTAGATTGGTCCCACTGTTATCTTGTTTACAAGACAAACTATCTGCCGCCCACGGTGCATCAACAACAAACATACATCAGTTCTGCAAAGGTTGTATCTATATCGATTCCATATGAGTATGCAAATTCTATTCTGTTACACTTTTGTGGGGTGTGGGTGGGAAGGTGCCGGTAGTCATTTTGTGTGCCATAACAGTTTATATTTAGGTGCAATACTTTTAAGCCAATATTGTATGAGGTGCAGGAACTCATGCACTATAACATTTTAGGTGCCAGTGAGCTCTTGCCCGACAATGGAGGATGTTAAGGGATTATTAAATCATATAGCTTCACTGAACATAAACATAGATCTAGCATACTCTGTGTATACGACCTTCAACTAACAGTAACAATATGTCATATTAGTTGAGAGGTGGTGCCAGGACAGAAGGTTATCTATTTGGCAAAATGCCATTCTGTTCAAATCAAAATCATGCGCCGAAAACAATGGGTGTAGACTGAACCGTGAAATGCTTGGTTACGAGCCCTTCCCAACAATGCAGAGTAAAGAAATAATAATCAAAAGAAAAATAGTAACACAAGTGGAATAGAATACACAAGTATGGAGCTATATACAGGGATACCAGTACCAAATCAAATGTGCTGGGGTATGAGGTTTTTGAGGTAGATATAGACATGAAGGCAGGGTAAAGTGACTAGGCATCAGGATAGATAATAATAAGAGAAAAATAAAGAACAGAGTAGCAACAGCATATGATGAGTGTAAAAGAGTTTGTGTGTGTCTGTGTGTGTATTTGTGTTTGTGTTGTCGGTATGGGTGTGTGTTATGTGTGTGTGCGTATGAAGTGTCAGTGTAATGTGTGTGTGAGTGTGTATATATAGTCTTGTGAGTGTGCATATAGTCAGTGCAAGATACGGTTAGCACAGATATGGGGCGGCAGGTAGCTTAATGGTTAAGAGCGTTGTGCCAGTAACCGAAAGGTCGCTGGTTCTAATCCCTGAGTCGACTAGGTGAAAAATCTGTCGATGTGCCCTTGGGCAAGGCACTTAACCCTGATTGCTCCTGTAAGTCGCTCTGGATAAGAGCGTCTGCTAAAATGACTGAAAATGTAAAAACTATTCCGGGTAGCCATTAATTTACTATTTAGCAGTCTTATGGCTTGGGGCTGGAAGCTGTCTCAGAGCCTGTTGATCAGAGATCCGATGCTTCGGTACCCATTTACTGGACAATAGCAGAGTGGGAGGCTGGAGTCTTTGGCAATTTCTCGCGCCTTCCTCTGACACCTGATATAGAGGTCCTGGATCGCAGGGAGCTTGGCCCCAGTGATGTACTGGGCTGTCCGCACCACCCTCTGTAGCGCTTTGCGGTCGAGGGTGGTGCATTTGCCATACTAAGCATTGATGCAGCCAGTCAAGATGCTCTCAATGGTGCAGCTGTATAACTTTTTGAGGATCTTTTCAGCCTCATGAGGGGGAAGATGTGCTGTCGTGCCGCCTTCATGACTGTGCGGGTGTGTGTAGATCATGTTAAGTCCTTAGTGATGTGGACACCAAGGAACTTGAAGCTCTCGACCCACTCAACTACAGCCCCGTCGATGTGGATAGGGGCGTGCTCTCCCCTCTTTCTCCTGTAGTCCACGATTAGCTCCTTGGTCTTTCTGACAGAGGGGGAGGTTGTTGTCATGGCACCACACTGCAAAGTGTCTGACCTCCTCCCTGTAGGCTCTCATTGCCGTCGGTGATCAGGCCTACCATCTTTGCGTCGTCAGTGTTGTTGCCTTCACTCACCCTCACCGCCGTTCTCTCAGGAAGTCTAGGATCCAGTTACAGAGGGAGGTGTTCAGTCCCAGGTTCCCCAGCTTGGTGTTGAACGCTGAACTGTAGTCTATAAACAGCATTCTCACATAGTTATTTCCTCTCTTGTCCAGGTGGGAGAGGGCAGTGTGAAGTGCAATTGAGATTGAGTTATCTGTAGATCTGTTGGGGCAGTATGCGAATTGGAGTGGGTCCAGGGTGTCTGACATGATGGTGTTGATGTGTGTCATGACCAGCCTTTCAAAGTACTTCATAATTACAGATCATAGATAGTCATTTAGGCAGGTTACCTTGGAGTTCTTGGGAACAGGGACAATGGTGGTAGCTTGAAACATGTTGGGATTACAGATTATTATTTAAGCATCAGTTGTCAGAGCACCTTACCGATCACTGCACCTGTACACAGCCCATCTGAAATTAGCCCACCCAACTACCTCATCCCTATATTGTTATTTATTTTGCTCTTTTGCACCCCAGTATCTCTATTTGCACATAATCTCTTGCACATCTAGCATTCCAGTGTTAATACTATTGTAATTATTCTGCACTATAGCCTATTTATTGCCTTACCTCCATAACTTGCTACATTTGCACACACTGTATATATATTTTCTGTTGTATTTCTGACTTTATGTTTTTTTTTTACCCCATATGTAACTCTGTGTTGTTTTTATTGCACTACTTTGCTTTATCTTGGCCAGGTCGCAGTTGTAAATGAGAACCTGTTCTCAACTGGCTTACCTGGTTAAATAAAGGTGAAAAAAAAATAAAAAAATATATATATTATTAAAGGTAAGCATACCACCATTGCCCATGATTCAATTCCCTCTCTTTTTATTCTAATGTAGAGTTGTTACATCAAAACCTCAGACATTCTTCTCAGATTATATAGCAACAAACCCACATGGATTTCATAAGGGAGAATAGAAACAGTGGCTCAAAGGTTTATCAAGATCAATTTGTGAACAGCTCTGTCTATGCCATCTTAAAAATTAATCTGACTGTGTTATCTAATAAATCCAGTCTGTAATGCAGACATTTGGCACCAGTTTGCGATTCTTCTCACATCTCATCTCACCAACATGCATTGTTATGAACCACAGACAAGCCTGTAGATGTATATGTGATGATGTCATTTCAGGACATATTTATACAATATTGTTAGGGTTACTGTACCAAACAGATGTGGCACAAGCCAGATAGTTTTCTATTTGATGAACAAATAAATAAAGTAGGCTATGGTCTTGGCATTAGAACCCATTGGCTACTGGATAGTGTGTTTACAAACTATTTGAAGTGAGTAAAATTGACTGCGTCTTTTGAGGGAAAGCAAAGGGCCAACAAGAAAAGTAGATGTTTTAATAACTTATTGATTATGTGTGATGTATTTTTATGACATTAGTTACATTTTACCTCTATGAGGTTAATCATTATATCCCTATTTCTTCCGTTTGAAACTGAGATACAGTGTAGGGCATGTCACTGTATTCTGTACAGCCTGGATTATGATTCTGTTTTCTAGTGCCCCCCTCTGGTTAATCGCAGGAATCGCAAGGCCCATCTGTTTGCAGGCGAATGCCATGGGGCTAGCTAGAGATTCTACAAACCCAGCAAAACATGAACCAGCATAGATAGCTAGCTTTGAATGAAAACTCACTTTATATAGAAACGTCCGTTCACTGTGCCTTGCTCCGCAGAAAAGTAATTATTAAACTACAGAAGCAGGCGTATCGGTTTGCTTGCAAAAACAATCACAACACACGTTCAGCTAGCTAGTTAGCCTGCTAACAACTTTCTCCTGCACGCCTCCCAGTTCCTGCACCACGAGCGTGAGGTATGGTTAATTGTTGAACATTGGGGTATGTTGTGAGAGTGGGAAAACTATTAAAATGCAATTTTATCGTAATGGATCAATGTACCATATAATGCTGCATTGTCAAGTTTGGTAGCAAAGTGTTTTCACAAATCACTGGTGTACCACGAAACAATGCTAGCTAGCTGCTTGCTAAAAACGTCGTTAGTGTAGTTCAAAGGCCTTGCTAGACATCGGGGTCGAGTAGCGGAGTGATCCGACTTGCAGTTCCATGTTATGCTAGCTAGCATTTAGCACCTACATAGCTATGCTGAATGCTACATTTTTGCATAGATCTCCAGTTAGATGGCTGGCTAGTTAGCTAACTAGCTAGATAGATGCTAAATTAGAACATCTATCTAGCCACTGTAAATATAACTATGTTGAAAATCTATAACCATTCAATAGAATGCCATGTTTTGTGGGGTTTGTTGTTGAAAACGGGCAATGCTGTTTATTTTCTGTTACCACTTATTCCCCTTTTGACAGCTTATGCTAGCTAACATGCTAGGCTAGCAGGTGCAGTGATTTCAGACATTATTGTTTATGAACTGCATAAATACCATGCAGGGAAATGTAATAAACTTCCAACAAGCTAGGTTGTTATTTGATTACCTGGAATAATATTGAGAACTCAGCAATTATTGCTGCTACAAGATAAAAAGCTTACTGTCAGCATCTTCTCCATTTTAGTTAGTGATAAATATATCCAGCATATATCACAGAGCAAGCAGCAGGGACGTGGTTTCCAGAGCACAGATGTTGAATTTACACATTGCTGTTGTCTCTATCTCCAAGGCAATCATGTCAGGCATCAAGAGGAAGATTGAAGACAAGGACCCAGACTATGAGGACATCTCACAGGTTCAGGAGAACAAACGACACAAAGTAGTGGAACAAAATGGTAAGACTAGAAGTTCTACTACACATGTTATTGTACTATCAACGCCTTCCTGTACTTGTGCACTTAGGCTGTATGGACAATTACTGGTTCACGGTATCTTTAGGATGATGCTAACATGTGACCTAGCTCACTCCGTCTGTGTTTTCTCATACTTTTTCAAACTTGCCAGCGAGGGAAGCTACGGTGCAGAAGATTGAGGCCATCATCAAAGACCAGTTCTCTTTGGAGATGAAGAACAAAGAACATGAGATCGAAGTGATCGGACAGGTAACTGTTAACCTCATCTACTGAATGAGTATCATATCACCATACATGAGTCATATCAGAACCATGAGTGGACAAAAGTACGAACACCTTAAATGCATGCAAAGACAAACACTCTGTTTTCATGTTTATTACCTTTAATTGTGTGTAATTACAATATACAATATAGAGCTGGGACGATAAACCAACAACTACCGACGTCACCTTCCTCTTACCGAAGCATTTAGCTTACATCTGTAATTTTTGGTGATTTTGCTACACAACGTTCCTATAGATGGTTCCAAAACCATTATTTGTTCAACAGTAATAGCCTATGCATTATGTGGATTCCTGCTATGAAATTATCTGCCTGTCCCTGTTTCGGTTTTGGCTGCTGTGTGTGCGAGCCACTCTCACTCCCTCTCCCCACTGTGCTCAAAATGCAATTGCGGGAAAAATACAGTTTTCAAGGCAACTGCAGTTCTACTTACAGAAAGTAGAGTCACAGCTTTCTGTTAGTATATAATGTATTTCTCACCTCTTAATATTGGCACAGGGTTGGGCGATGTCAACTTTTGACCTATCGTGATTATGTACCCATAAAACATTGTGATTAATAACATTGGACTTATATAGTGCTTTTCAAAGACCTAAAGTCACTTTACAAGGACCCAGTCAAAACAAAACATCAGACTAAACAAGACATGAATAAAGAGAGGGGTGGGCTCAAAGAAGGGAAAGAGTGTGATGTATCAGTGTATGGGGATGGTTGGGATTTAGATACGAACCCGGTTTAGGGTAAGGGGTGGGATTGGGGTTAGGATACGAACCCGGTTTAGGGTAAGGGGTAGGGTAAGGGTTTGGTTTAGGTGCTGCTCTGTATGGTGAAGTGAGGAGTGTATTTTGGTGGGGGCTTAAGGGTATACGGTGCATTCGGAAAGTATTCAGACCCCTTGACTTTTTCCACATTTTGTTACGTTACAGGCTTATTCTAAAATGGATTAAATAAAACATTTTTTTCATCAATCTACACACAATAACCCATAATGACAAAGCGAAAACAGGTTTTAGAATTCTTTGCAAATCTATATAGCATATTTATTGAAATAGGCTACAGCAAATAGGAATAGGTAAATTACTCAGAATGTCACTTGTGTGCTGCCCTGCTGTGCTCTGTGAGACTCATATAGAAAGTAATACCCAATGAGTAACGATATCTTTGCTAAATGCACGGGGCACCAGTACCGAGTTGATGTGTAGGTGTATGAGGTAATTAAGGTATATATGTACATATACACTACCAGTCAAAAGTTTGGACACACCTACTCATTCAAAGGTTTTTCTTTATTTTTACAATTTTTTACATTGTAGAATAGTAGTGAAGACATCAAAACTATGAAATAACACAGATGGAATCATTTAGTAACCCAAAAAGTGTTAAACAAATCAAAATATATTTTATATTTGAGATTCTTCAAATAGCCACCCTTTGCCTTTATCAGCTTTGCACACTCTTGGCATTCTCTCAGCCAGCTTCATAAGGTAGTCACCTTGAATGCATTTCAATTAACAGGTGTTCCTTGTTAAAAGTTAATTTGTGGAATTTATTTCCGTCTTAATGCATTTGAGCCAATCAGTTGTGTTGTGACAAGGTAGGGTCGGTATACAGAAGATAGACCTATTTGGTAAAAGACCAAGTCCATATTATGGCAAGAACAGGTCAAATAAGCAAAGAGAAACGACAGTCCATCATTACTTTAAGACATGAAGTTCAGTCAATACGGAAAATGTCAAGAACTTTGAAAGTTTCTTCAAGTGCAGTCGCAAAAACCATCAAGCGCTGTGATGAAACTGGCTCTCATGAGGACCGCCACAGGAATGGAAGACCCAGAGTTACCAGCCAAATTGCAGCCCAAATAAATGCTTCACAGAGTTCAAGTAACAGACACATCTCAACATCAACTGTTCAGAAGGGACTGTGTGAATCAGGCCTTCATGGTCTAATTGCTGCAAAGAAACCACTACTAAAGGACACAAATAATAAGAAGAGACCTGCTTGGGCCAAGAAACACAAGCAATATACATTAGACAGGTGGAAATATGTCCTTTGGTCTGGAGTCCAAATTTGAGATTTTTGGTTCAAACTGCTGTGTCTTTGTGAGATGCGGTGTGGGTGAACGGATGATCTCCGCATGTGTAGTTCCCACCATAAAGCATGGAGGAGGAGGTGTTATGGTGTGGGGGTGCTTTGCTGGTGACACTGTCTATGATTTATTTAGAATTCAAGGCACACTTAACCAGCATGGCTACCACAGCATTCTGCAGCGAGATGCCATCCCAAGTGGTTTGGACTTAGTGGGATTATCATTTGTTTTTCAACAGGACAATGACCCAACACACCTCCAGGCTGTGTAAGGGCTATTTTACCAAGAAGGAGAGTGATGGAGTGCTGCATCAGATGACCTTACCTTCACAATCCCCCGACCTCAACCCAATTGAGATGGTTTGGGATGAGTTGGACCCAAGAGTGAAGTGCTCAGCATATGTGGGAACTCCTTCAAGATTGTTGGAAAAGCATTCCAGGTGAAGCTGGTTGAGAGAATGCCAAGAGTGTGCAAAGCTGTCATCAAGGCAAAGGGTGGCTATTTGAAGAATCTCAAATATAAAATATATTTTGATTTGTTTAACACTTTTCTGGTTACTACATGTTTCCATATGTGTTATTTCATAGTTTTACAATGTAGAAAATAGTGAAAAATTAAGAAAAACCGTTGAATGAGTAGGTGTGTCCAAACTTTTGACTGGTGCTGTAGGTAGGGGTAAAGTGACTAGGCAACAGGATAGATAATAAACAGTAGCAGCAGCATATGTGATGAGTCAAAATAGTTAGTGCAAAAAGGGTCAATGCAGATAGTCCGGCTAGCTATTTGGTTAGCTATTTAGGAGTCTAATGGCTTGGGGGTACAAGCTTTTCAGGGTCCTGTTGGTTCCAGACTTGCAATGCCGTAAGTTCAAAATGTAGGCTAAACCATCGCCAGTCACATCACAATGTCGTCGCTATCGACAATGGCTGTCAATCATTGTCAATGATGCTGTTAATAGGCCTATATCAATTAGCCTCGGCCTAGTGCTTGAAAGTTTTTGTAAGACATTGCATTTACTGATAGCCATGTAGTCTAATTGATTAATCTATCTAGCAACAAGATCATATTTACAGTTAGCAATCTATCTAAAGAGTTCCCACTTCATCAGGTGGAGAATAATAGTTAAGGCCAATATGCACAAAGATGTCTGCAAATTCATCTCTGAAGAGCCAAAAACAGGTTGCACATCAAAATATCAATCATGCTTTCCATGGATGTGTTAGAGAAATAGTTTACCTTTTGAGTCATAGGCTACCATCTCAGTTGTCTTACTTGGTACTGGGAAAAAATTGTCTACAGCCCTGCCGCTAATGCAAAGTAGTAACTGTCCATAAAAAAAAAATGTTTGTTGTGTTTATCGTTATCGAGCAAAATAGTTACATTTATTGCGTTATGAATTTTTGTCCATATCTTCCAGCTCTAATACAATACAACTTTATTGTCCATATGTTACAAAGAACAATGGAAATTTGTCTTGTTCTCCGTTCTCAACCCCCTCAGACAGCACACATCACACATACAGTTGAGACGAGCACAGGGTCAAGCTGCAGTGCTGCGCCCCTGGATGTAGAGCATGTTGTGGGGTTAAAGGCCTTGCTCAAGGGCCCAACGATCAAATCAAATTGTATTTGCCACATGCGCCGAATACAACATGTGTAGACCTTCCAGTGAAATGCTTACTTACAAGCCCTTAACCAACAATGCAGTTTTAAGATAGGGGAAGGTCTTGAGGATGTGAACCCAGCAGCCATCCATTTTTGCCAGATCAATTCCACCCTTTTTCCAGTGCCCGGCATGGGAATCAAACCGGCCACCTTTTGGCTACAGGTCCAACTCCTTAGCTGCTGGGCTACTTACTGCCGCTACATGCTTATACTGTAGGAGAAAGGTTAATTACACGCTTATACTGCAGGACAAATCTTCAGTGTTTCTGTTCATTTCTCCGTTACAGCGTCTGAATGAGGCCAGGCGAATGATGGACAAGCTCAGAGCCTGTATCGTGGCCAATTACTATGCCAACGCTGGGGTGCCCAAGCTCCAAGAGGTAAGGTAGCTTTAAGTCCAATTTCTTATATATAAAAAAAAAAAACTACAAATTCTACAACTTCATTCCCTCTCCTTTCCTACGTTTACCAGCAGGCATCCAAAAGCGACCCGGCGGTGCTGAACCACCCGGCCATCAAGCGTTTCCTGGAGTCACCCTCCCGCTCCTCCTCCCCTCTCAACCAGGGCTCGGACGCCCACTCCCTGGGGCCCTCGGAGTCTGAGTCCCTGTCCCAGCAGGGTGAGGGGCCGGAAAGGGACGTGGAGGGCTCCTGGAGAGAGGACAGGGGCAGGCAGGAGCGCAGGCCGGGCCGCAACACAGGGAAGGTGAGTGGACTGTGGAGTCTGAAGTAGCTTCCTCTCCCCGTCTCCTTTCCTTCATCCGTACTGATCTGAAATACCTGGTCAAATTGCTTTCACCTATCCTGTCTTTTCAAACCTATGCAGATGAGGCAAAGGAGCCGAAGAGAGGGAGGCACTGTAGATTATTGAGATGCACCCTTGGGAAGGCAATCATATGATGACCCTTTTGATAATTACTGCAGTGGTAAAAGGCTTCTGATACACCCTCTAACATTAATACTATGACTGTCTCCTTTGTTGTAGGACACGTTTGGCATCCCATCGTCAGGCGTACTGTCGTCATTCGAGGGGGAGCAGAGGGTGACTTACCACACTACAGGAGATGAGGCTTCCAGGCTCTACATAAAGAAGACCATCGTGGTGGGAAATGTCTCCAAGTACGTGACTGATATTATCAATGAGTTTTTCAGTTTTTTACTCAGTAGAATCTGAGAGCTTTTCAAGGCAGTGATCCCATTCTTTTTGCTGACACTGTGAACTTTCTTAAGCATTTCACAATACATCTAGTCCTTTGTGACAGATATAAACAGCAGCAGTGTGTTGCAAGCTCTTGTAATACAGTTGCAGGGATGCAAACTCGTCACTTTTAGGCAATATATCTCTAAATAGGTCATCCACGTGAATCGTGTAGATCCGTAATAAAGTGTGCAGACGCAAGACTGTATCATCCATTGAGCTATAAAAGAGAGGCGCGAACAGATCTTCTCCCGTGTGATCACTAAATATAAAGGTGTATCTTTCTGAGATCGAAATGTATGACTGAGCACAGAATGCATCACTACGCGTTCTACAAATACAATATCAGAGTTTAGAGTGTGATGTCAGATATTTCATATCAGAATGTTTTATCCAATATCACCTGTGATAGCTGTGAGCAGCCATCCGCATCCCCTAACCAGCCATTAGCCTACTCAGCTGCTTCTGTCTGTTTTTTCTGCGCATCTCCATCAGTTTTTAAATGTTATTTAGCCGTGATGGCATACAGGGGTGTGCAGACAGTAATGCATTTTCTGTTACATTTGTTTAATTATTGGAGTGGCTCGCAGCGCAGTATCTTTTAATTTAGCCTGGAAGAGCAAGCAGGCCAGTTGGACTAGGCTGAATGCCACTGCCATAGAGGAAAAACGGAGCACCGTGACAGTCATGATTGCGCCTTTACATCACTGAAAACCGCAAGTTTCTAACCCAAACTACCGAAGTGACCTTCTCCCCTTTCTACCACGAATTGGCGCAAATTTTATAAACCATGTCGCGGGCCGCAAGTTTTTGGTTTGATAACAAACAACCTTGTTTAGTCATGTTTAATTTGTTGGCTTTGCACAAATTTGGATGGCACAGGATAAATTCAAAGAGATGCTTCAAAGGTAGGATGCATATGCCTTATCAATGTAATTCTAAGCTAAACCTGAATAAAAAATTTATATATTTTTCTGGTGTTCCTTAAATACTGTTTGGTGCCTAACTTTTGGGAGCAGAGTGTGTTTTTGTGTGTGAGACGGAATGAGAGAGTGGTGTATGTGAGAGAGAGGAAGAGGATGTGTGTGGGAGAGGGAGTAAGTGATTGAGCGAGATGTGTGAGGAAGGGAGGGAGTGTGTGGCTATGTGTGTGAGTTGTCTGAAGAGTAGGCTAACGATGGTTTCGCATAGGCCTAGTGTGTTTTCTCCTTACTGCCACAATGAAAATGCAGACCATTATGCATTTATATTCCTCCTGCCCAATCACAGGTAGGCCTTTGGATATAAGCAAATCTACTATTTTCTGCATTGTATACAGTAAATTATACAGTAAAACGTGTGAGGGGGGGGGGGGGGGGGGGGGGGGGGGGGGGGGGGGCAAACCCTGTGGTATCACAATACTACTCGCTTGGCATCTCATTGTTAGTGAAATGTTGGTATTGTGACAACCCCACTCTGAAAATTGGCATGTTTTTGTGCAGTTTACATCTTTTTTGCGTGTTTCCATGCAGGAAAATGTTCTCACCTTTTTGGGCCCTCACCAGTTTGCCTCCCTGCAGTTGGGTTTCTCAGTAGGCACTCAGCACACCTTGTTTTTGTTCCCTCTCACTACAGTAAGCAGTTGGGTAACTGGGTGCATGTCATGCAAGCCCAGTCTTGATACAGAACTCTGTGTCCTGATCACTGACATGTGTTCCCCCTGGATCACAAGCCTGTGTTTAGGGGTTGAAGGGAGACACTACTAGAACACAACAAGTAGGCTTGCATGTCATAACAGTGACATTAAACAGTAATTATTACTTATGTCCCCTGACTTAACAAAGTAGCTACACTCCCTATCTGCAAAAGCTTTATCGTGTACTAGCACCTTACTTTACTCTATGAAATGTATTTGGAATTGTATATATATATATATATACAGTGGGGAGAACAAGTATTTGATACACTGCCGATTTTGCAGGTTTTCCTACTTACAAAGCATGTAGAGGTCTGTAATTTTTATCATAGGTACACTTCAACTGTGAGAGACGGAATCTAAAACAAAAATCCAGAAAATCACATTGTATGATTTTTAAGTAATTAATTTGCATTTTATTGCATGAAATAAGTATTTTATCACCTACCAACCAGTAAGAATTCCAGCTCTCACAGACCTGTTAGTTTTTCTTTAAGAAGCCCTCCTGTTCTCCACTCATTACCTGTATTAACTGCACCTGTTTGAACTCGTTACCTGTATAAAAGACACCTGTCCACACACTCAATCAAACAGAACAAATACTTGTTCTCCCCACTGTATATACTCTATCAGTCAAAAGTTTGGACACACCTACTCATTCAAGTTTTTTTTTTTTACATTGTAGAACAATAGTGACGACATCAAAACTATGAAATAACACATATGGAATCATGTAGTAAACCAAAAAGGGTTAAACAAATCAAAATATATTTTATAGTTGAGATTCTTCAAATAACCACCCTTTGCCTTGATGCAGTTGCAATAACCATCAAGAGCTATGATGAAACTGGCTCTCATGAGGACCGCCACAGGAATGGAAGACCCAGACTTACCTCTGCTGCAGAGGATAAGTTCATTAGAGTTACCAGCCTCAGAAATTGCAGCCCAAATAAATGCTTCACAGAGTTCAAGTAACAGACACATCTCAACATCAACTGTTCAGAGGAGACTGTGTGAATAAGGCCTTCATGGTCAAATTGCTGCAAAAAAAACACTACTAAAGGACACCAATAAGAAGAAGAGACTTGCTTGGGCCAAGAAACATGCGCAATGGACATTAGAACGGTGGAAATGTGTCCTTTGGTCTGGAGTCCAAATTTGAGATTTTTGGTTCAAACCGCCGTGTCTTTGTGAGACGCGGTGTGGGTGAACGGATGATCTCCGCATGTGTAGTTCCCAACGTAAAGCATGGAGGAGGAGGTGTTATGGTGTGGGGGTGCTTTGCTGGTGACACTGTCTGTGATTTATTTAGAATTCAAGGCACACTTAACCAGCATGGCTACCACATCATTCTGCAGCGATATGCCGTCCCATCTGGTTTGGGCTTAGTGGGACTATAATATGTTTTTCAACACACCTCCAGGCTGTGTAAGGGCTATTTTACCAAGAAATGGAGTGCTGCATCAGATGACCTGGCATCCACAATCCCCCTACCTCAACCCAATTGAGATGGTTTGGGATGAGTCGGACGGCAGAGTGAAGGAAAAGCAGCCAACAAGTGCTCAGCATATGTGGGAACTCCTTCAAGACTGTTTGAAAGTATTCCAGGTGAAGCTGGTTGAGAGAATGCCAAGAGTGTGCAAAGCTTTCATAAAGGGAAAGGGTGGCTATTGGAAGAATCTCAAATATAAAATATATTTTCATTTGTTTAACACTTTTTTGGTTACTACATGATTCCAAATGTGTTATTTCATAGTTTTGACGTCTTTACTATTATTCTACAATGTAGAAAATAGTAAAAATAAAGAAAACCCTTGAATGAGTAGGTGTGTCCAAACTTTTGACTGGTACTGTGTATATATATATATATATATATATAGATAGATAGATACTTAGCTTGGAGTCATTAAAACTCGTTTTTCAACCACTCCACAAATTTCTTTTTAATAAAGTTTTGGCAAGTCGGTTAGGACATCTACTTCGTGCATGACACAAGTAATTTTTCCAACAATTGTTTACAGACAGATTATTTCACTTATAATTCACTTTATCACAATTCCAGTGGGTCAGAAGTTTACATACACTAAGTTGACTGTGCCTTTAAACAGCTTGGAAAATTCCAGAAAATGATGTCATGGCTTTAGAAGCTTCTGATAGGCTAATTGACATAATTTGAATCAATTGGAGGTGTACCTGTGGATGTATTTCAAGGCCTACCTTCAAACTCAGCGCCTCTTTGCTTGACATCATGGGAAAATCAAAATAAATCAACCAAAATAATTGTAGACCTCCACAAGTCTGGTTCATCCTTGGGAGCAATTTCCAAATGCCTGTAGGTACCACGTTCATCTGTACAAACAATAGTACGCAAGTATAAACACCATGGGACCACGCAGCCATCATACTGCTCAGGAAGGAGACACGTTCTGTCTCCTAGAGATGAACGTACTTTGGTGCGAATAGTGCAAATCAATCCCAGAACAACAGCAATGGACCTTGTGAAGATGCTGGAGGAAACAGGTACAAAAGTATTTATATCCACAGTAAAACGAGTCCTATACATCGACATAACCTGAAAGGCCGCTCAGCAAGGAAGAAGCCACTGCTCCCAAACCGCCTTAAAAAAGCCAGACTACGGTTTGCAACTGCACATGGAGACAAAGATCGTACTTTTTGGAGAAATGTCCTCTGGTGAAACAAAAATGGAACTGTTTGGCCATAATGATCATCGTTATGTTTGGAGGGAAAAGGGGTTGGCTTGCAAGCCGAAGAACACCATCCCAAACGTGAAGCACGGGGGTGGTAGCATCATGCTGTGGGGGTGCTTTGCTGCAGGAGGGACTGGTGCACTTCACAAAATAGATGGCATCATGAGGAAGGAAAATTATGTGGATATATTGAAGCAATATCTCAAGACATCAGTCAGGAAGTTAAAGCTTGGTCGCAAATGGCTCTTCCAAATGGACCATGACCCCAAGTATACTTCCAAAGTTGTGGCAAAATGGCTTAAGGACAACAAAGTCAAGGTATTGGAGTGGCCATCACAAAGCCCTGACCTCAATCCTATAGAAAATATGTGGGCAGAACTGAAAAAGCGTGTGCGAGCAAGGAGGCCTACAAACCTGACTCAGTTACACCAGCTCTGCCAGGAGGAATGGGCCAAAATTCACCCAGATTATTTTGAGAAGCTTGTGGAAGGCTACCCGAAACATTTGACCCAAGTTAAACAATTTAAAGGCAGTGTTACCAAATACTAATTGAGTATATGTAAACTTCTGACCCTCTGGGAATGTGATGAAAGAAATAAAAGCTGAAATAAATCATTCTCTCTACTATTATTCTGACATTTCACATTCTTAAAATAAAGTGGTGATCCTAACTGACCTAAGACAGGGAATTCTTACTAGGATTAAATGTCAGGAATTGTGAAAAACTGAGTTTAAATGTATTTGGCGAAGGTGTATGTTAACTTCTGACTTCAACTGTGTGTATATATATATATATATATATATATATATATATATATATATATATATATATATATATATATATATATATATATATATATAGCTAAGTGCTTATTAAGTCTTTAAAGGTTTAAGTGCACTGTTTTTTCTCTGGGTCCCATTAACACGATAAAAAAAGAAAGAAAAAAAGCTGTTTAATTGTCACATACACCGGCAGGGTTCGGGGTTGCACAGCATAATAGTTAGACACATATGCGAGGAAAATGGTCGCACTGTAGAGCCCTGACCGGATAGGTTTAGTGAAATGTTTTTTTTTTTACAGGGTCAGCCATAGTAGTAAGGCGCCACTGGAGAAAATGTGGGTTAGGTGCCTTGCTCAAGGGCACATCGACAGATTTTTCACCTTGTCGGCTCGGGTAGTCAAACTAGTGACTTTTTGTTACTGGCCCAACGCTCTAACTGCTAGGCTACATGCCGCCCAGGGAGTAGAGAGAACTGGCTGAGCTCCAGCTTGTCTTTCTATCTCCTCCTCTCCCCCTGCAAGGCAGCTCCCTCTCTTTCTCCCTCTCTCCTCCCCTCCATCTGTCAATCCGAGGTAAACAAACAGAACCAGGGCACTAGTGCACAGTGACTGACAGCTCTGCTAGACATGTCTCTCGCAGTTTCTTTCTTTCCCTCTTTGTGTTTTCTTTGTTTTTCACACTCTACTGTTCTCTCTTTCTCTCGCTCTTTCTCCCCCTGTCCCCCAACTTATCTCTCCTTCTTCTTCCCCTTCTCCCTACTCTTGCTTTCTCTTGCTCCTTTCTCCCAATATCTTTGGTGGTCCTATGTGGCTCAGTTGGTAAGAATGTGGCACTAGTAATGCCAGGGTCCTGGGGCCACATATACAAAGATGAATGCCTTTCCTACATAAAAACGTCTGCTAAATTGCTAAAATATATTATCTCCCTCCTGTCTCCCAGGTATATCCCTCCTGATAAGCGGGAGGAGAATGACCAGTCAACCCACAAGTGGATGGTGTACGTCAGAGGCTCCAGAAGAGAGCCCAGCATCGATCACTTTGTCAAGAAAGTCTGGTTTTTCCTGCACCCCAGCTACAAGCCCAATGACCTGGTGGAAGTCAGGTGTGTGTGTGTGTGTGCACGCACATGTTTGTGTGCGCACGTGTCTGTACTTTGGAGGTAGGGCTCGTCTTGTTGTTGAATAGATCACTGGGGTGTTGTTTTTAAATGCAGGCCTCAGGCAACAGCAGACAGATTGAGACTCTCTGAGCAACATGTTTTGATCTGATGAGATATGACAGGGAGGGGCAACTTTGATGGGGTGGGGGGCAACAAAAAATCTGAACTCATCATGAGGGGCCGCAGTGGCATGCGGGTCTGTGTACCCACATCCACACCCACACATGCAGTCAGAGACGGCCCCAAAGCAAAAACATTTTGGGGGCCCCCATCCACCTTGCGAGCAAAATATCTTAGCCCCCCCCACCCCCTTGTCAGCGGCGTGAGTTAATTTCCTGCAATTCTGCACATTTTGCCATGGGGTGGAGAGAACATTTTGCAGTTTTAAAGCAAGTTTGCTGCAATTCTACACATTTTGCCATGGTGCGGAAATGTTTGCAGTTTTTAAGCTTATTTCCTGCAATTCTACACGTTACCCTGACTTATGCCGTGTTAATAGGATATCTGAGTCAGAGTGATTAACTAAATCAATGGGGGCCCCCTGGAGGTCAGGGCCCCTGGACACGTGCCCTGCATACCCGGTCGGTAATTTGACCATGATTTCTAGTTGTCTGCGAAATGGCATATTATTATTATTATATTATAGTTTAGATAGCTGGCTAGACTAATTTAGCAATCTAAAAAAAGGTTAGCTGACATGGGCTAATTGAGTGACTGCTGATGCACAGCCAAATTTCTAAATGACACCTTGTGTATTCTACTATTCTAGCTTTCAACAGTAAGTTGAGACCCCGAATGAGTACCTTTTTATTTATTATTAATTTGGGCAGCCAGTTGCCCAACCCTGAGCTACGATGTAGTGTTGCCCATGTTTACACCATTTCCATTTCATATTATAGGTCAACAAAAGTTTTCTGAACAACTTCTGTTTGGCCAGACAAAGATGTAGGCATAGCTAGTGCAGATGTAGGCCTATCTAGTGTTAGACCAGGGTTTTTTCTTGATCAAAAAGGGGCTTAGGTGGTGGGTGTGGCAGGGGGCGTGGTCAGTGTGGCTGAATTTTAGAGAAACATTTCTCAAATTTCTCCATTGAGCTGTGAGAAATCTTTGCAGTTTTAAAGCAAATTTCTTGCAATTCTACACATTTTGCCATGCATGTGTGAGAAAATGTTGCAGTTTTAATGGAAATGTCATGCAGTTCTACATATTCTGACATGGAGCTGAGTGAACATGCAGTTTTAAAGGTAATTTCCTGCAATTCTATACATTTTGCTCAAACATAATAACAAAATACAGTGCTTTCGGAAAGTATTCAGACTCCTTGACTTTTTCCACAGCCTTATTCAATACTCCATAATGGCAAAGCAAAAATAAAAACCTGATATCAAATTTACATAAGTATTCAGACCCTTACTCAGTACTTTGTTGAAGAACCTTTGGCAGCGATTACAGCCTTGAGTCTTCTTGGGTATGACGCTACAAGCTTGGCACACCTGTATTTGGGGAGATTCTCCCATTCTTCTCTGCAGATCCTCTCAAGCTCTGTCAGGTTGGATTGGGAGCGTCACTGCACAGCTATTTTCAGGTCTCTCCAGAGATGTTCGATCGGGTTCAAGTCCGGACTTTGGCTGGGCCACTCAAGGACATTCAGAGACTTGTCCCAAAACCACTCCTGCGTTGTCTTGGCTGTGTGCTTAGGGTCGTTGTCCTGTTGGAAGGTGAACCTTCGCCCCAGTCTGAGGTCCTGAGAGCTCTGGAGCAGGTTTTCATCAAGGATCTCGCTGTACTTTGCTCCGTTCATCTTTCCCTCGATCCTGACTAGTCTCCCAGTCCCTGCCGCTGAAAAACATCCCCACAGCATGATGCTGCCACCACCATGCTTCACCGTAGGGATGGTGCCAGGTTTTCTCCAGACGTGACGCTTGGAATTCAGGCCAAAGAGTTCAATCTTGGTTTCTTTAGCCCATAGATTCTTGTTTCTCATGGTCTTGAGAGTCCGTTAGGTGCCTTTTGGCAATCTCCAAGCGGGCTGTCATGTGCCTTTTACTGAGGAGTGGCTTCCATCTGGCCACTCTACCATAAAGGCCTGATTGGTGGACTGCTGCAGAGATGGTTGTCCTTCTGGAAGGTTCTCCCATCTCCACAGAGGAACTCTGGATCTCTGTCAGAGTGACCATCGGGATCTTGGTCACCTCCCTGACCAAGGCCCTTCTCCCCCGATTGCTCTGTTTGGCCGGGCGACCAGCTCTAGGAAAAGTCTTGGTGGTTCCAAACTTCTTCCATTTAAGAATGATGGAGGCCACTGTGTTCTTGGGGAGCTTCAATGCTGCAGAAATGTTTTGGTACCCTTCCCCAGATCTGTGCCTCGACACAATCCTGTCTCTGAGCTCTACGGACAATTCCTTCAACCTCATTGCTTGGTTTTTGCTCTGACGTGCACTGTCAACTGTGAGACCTTATATAGACAGGTGTGTGCCTTTCCAAATCATGTCCAATCAATTGAATTTACCACAGGTGGACTCCAATCAAGTTGTAGAAACAACTCAAGGATAATCAATTGAAACAGGATGTACCTGAGCTCAATTTCGAGTCTCATAGCAAAGGGTCTGAATAATTATATAAATAAGGTATTTCCTTTTTTCTTTTTCTTTTCTGCAAAAAATTGTCTACCTGTTTTCGCTTTGTCATTATTGGGTATTGTGTGTAGATTGCTGAGGATTTTGTATTTATTTAATCAATTTTAGAATAAGGTTGTAACGTAACAAAATGTGTAAAACGTCAGGTGGTCTGAATACTTTCCGAATGCACTGTATATACTGCTAAATTCATTATTTTTGGAATTTTCAATTCTCCCTCACTGTGTAGCTTTTATTTTGGTGATTATTATTTCTCAAAGATTATATAATATAAATATATAGGTCCATTATCTTTTCTACAATATCCGGTTTTAGACATTTTCCATCCCAATTTATTTTGTATTTTGTATTATTCTTTTACAGTTTGGACTTAGGCAACCTGAAAAAACGCTAAGGCGGCACGCTCAAGGATTTCAATAGCAGAAAAATCTCTGTTAGATTGGTTGAGTAGTAAACACTAGAGGTGTTCACGGGTCCACCCAAACTCGAAAAACCAAGACCCGACCCGTGACCTATAATTCTAACTTTTTGCTCCGGTCTGTTTTGTTTGTCATCGGGTCTCGGGTCTATGTAACTACAGCTGAGAGACGTGAGTGGACCCGAATGGACCCGTCCACGGCTCTTCATAGCCTATAGCAGCCAAACTCAACTGGCGGACCGGGGTCCGGGACGGACCCAGAGAAGGGTTAACCCAGACCGCATTTTGTTATATAAAAGTCAATACATTATTTTTAGACAGCTTTTTAAAAAATCTACCGGGCGCTGCGGCCTCTTTATTTCAGCAACCTCTCTTTCTCGCTCTCTCTCAAAGCAACGCCCACCTCTACTAGTGCCCTGTCTTACCCAATGACATTAATCCAAATATCACATTCAACTGTAAATATCACAGATAGGAGCTTAGTTACCAGTATCTTTGTTAATATGGCTTGTAAAAAAAAAAAAAAAAAAGTTTATTCTGAAAACCGTATATTCAAAGACGAGTGGACGGAACAGTATTTATTCATTCTCCCTGCAACTAGCACAGAACCAATATGCCTGATATCCAGTGAGTCCGTAGCTCTCGTGAAAAGTGCCAATGTTAAGCGCCATTATGACACCAGGCATAGTAAATTCGATCAGACGTATCCCCTGAACAAGGAGGTGAGAACGAACAAGAATAACCAACTCAAATCCCAATATGAGAGGTCCACCAAAGTCCTTGTCAGTTCTCTGACAGCCCAACAATGTGCAATGGAGTGTTCACTGAGGATAGCTTTGGTTTTGGGAAAACACAAAAAAAACATTTTCAGACGCTGAGATGGTAAAATAATGCATGTGTGAAGTTGCTGACACCTTGCTTGAAGGTAAACAAAAAGATGAACTCAGGGAAAAGATCAAGCAGATCCCACTGTCAGATTCCACAGCAATGAGGAGAACGGAAATATTAGCTGAAGATTTAACTTCCCAACCTTTTATTTTTTATTTTTACGTTTTTATTTATTTAACCTTTATTTAACCAGGTAAGCCAGTTGAGAACAAGTTCTCATTTACAACTGTGACCTGGCCAAGATAAAGCAACAACACAACTTGATGAGGCCATTCAGAATGTACCATGCATTTCATTAGCTGTGGATGAATCAACAGATAACGCTGATACTGCCCAGCTTCCGGTGTTGGTCAGATTTTATAACGAAACAAAGAAAGAATTCTGTGAGGAGCTGTTGGGTTTAACAAATCTAGAAGCGCACACACAGGGAGAGGATATCCATGAGACCATCAAAGGGATGATGACAAAAAGGGGGATAGATCTGAAGTCAGTGGTCTCCATCAACACAGATGGAGCTCCAGCCATGATAGGAAGAGGGAGGGCACTGGTTGCACGTTTGAAAGAGGACCACCCTGACCTGACATCATATCGCTGCATCATCCATCAATCTGTCCTGTGTGCCAGTCTGGGAAAAGAGTATTCTGAGGTCAAGACAACGATGATGAAACTGTTCAACTTTTGAGAGGAACATCATCCCTACAACACCGCCTGCTACGAGGCATTGTAGCAGAGGCCAATGCCAGTTTTGATGACTTACTACTGCACAACAATGTCAGATGGTTCAGCAAAGGCAGGGTTTTGGAACGCTTTTGGGCCATTCAGGAGGAAATCAAATTTTCTTATCAGAGGAAATGAGTGATAAGGCAACTCAGTTTTTGGAAGATGAGAAGCTGGAAACAGTTAGAATTTTTGACAGACATTACATCACACCTTAATCAACTGAATGTTAAGCTGCAGGGACGGGACAACACAGCTTTTTAAGAATGATCTCCAGGGCGAACTTGTCCACTTCCCCAATCTTCTGGTGCAAATGCAGGGAGACAAAGGTGTTCCCAACCATGTTGATTCCATCCAGAAGTTGATGGATAACTTCAAGGCTCGCTTTGATGACTTCACTGTTGGAAGAGAACTGCTGCTGCTCATCCAGAACCCCTTCTTGGTCACAAACTTGACAAAGTTGTCAGAAGAAGTAAAACAGGTCTTCAGATGGGTAGATGTTACATCACTGCAAATGGAGTTGTTTGAGCTGCAAGAAAATGTGGCTATGAAGGAACAGGCTGGTGATTGTGACCCTGTCCCTTTCTGGGGAAAGATGGTGCCTGCATCTGATGTCTCTCTTCTCAAGAAACTGGCGCTATACATCCTGACCATGTTTGGCTCCACATACAGCTGTGAATCAGCCTTCTCTACAATGAACTTTATTAAAAACAAATATCGCACCAATGAACACCTGCACCATTTGTGCCAAAGTTCAAAGCATTGGCAGGAGACAGAAAGTGTAATGTCTCTCATTAATGCAGGGCAAGGCCCAGAGTGACTTATACACAAATATTGTATGGCCCACAGTGACGTTCTGTGCATTCAGATTATTTTTGTTCAACTCTCCTTTGTTCCCCAGAAAACATGCATTTTATTTTATTTAAATATATATATTTTTTTATTCTATGCCAATTACACTTTCTGAAGACATGTTCACAGTGCACTTTTTGCATAGACAATTATGCAACCACTTTTGTTCTTCAGCAATGTTGACGCAATGTTGCACATGTTTACATTCGAAAGAAGTTGTAATTAATTCAAATTCTTATTCTCATTTAATTTATTGAATGTACATTTTATATAACAACATGTTTGTTACTACGCTGTACCACAGCGCCGATAAAGGACGATATCCATCCGGAAATTTGCCACCTAGGAAATTTGTGTCACTGGACATATAAAACATATCCAATACCTATTCGTTATCCAGAAAATAAACTTGACTGATAATCATATTTTTTTGGTCAGGGTATGGGTTGGGTCTAGGTCTGGTTATCGTCGGGTCTGATTGTTCTCGGGTCCTGATCCCCCTTTTTTTTTAATGATCGGTCCATTCGGGTCCGGATCTGATTGTCCTCGGGTCTGGTCAGTTCTGGGTCCAGCTTTTTGGACCCGAGAAGACCAGAGTGTACACCTTGATAAAGGCATCAGCATGCTTCAGTTCGGCTGGAACCTAGCCAAACTCGGCTAGGTGAACCGAACGAGTGTGCTTGCATACTCCCTTAAAAGACTTTAGCTTGAAAAATGAGAAAAAACAACAATTGTACTGTTTGTCAATTTTTTTTCAAAATAGTCAGAATGAATCTAAGATAACTCAAGAAATCTGCTTTTCATTTTGACGTTTTTGCCAAGGAGATCTTAGTCGCGTGATTTTACATCTAACTAAGATGTTTGGTGCAGTATTTCTCAATGGAAAAATTTGCATGAAAACGACTCATCTCTCGTTGAATGACAAAGATTTTACTGAAGAATCCCTACTGTTGACCAATCAACGACGAAGGGGCGTAGACTTCAGCTTCCGACTTCGGCTTGCCTCAAGACATTTATTTGTGCCCGAACAGCCGAAAAAACCCTTGCCGAAGTACAAAACGAACAAAAACGTCACAAAATGTCTTCATAATACTGTATATGCACTCTTCAGAACTATTCTGCTGGGAAGCATGTGGACATCTTAACACTCCCATCATAGTAAACAAACTGAAATGCCTTGGAGTAATAGTGCCCCCATGTGGACATGAGACAAAGCACCGACGAAACCTAAAGTGTGTGTTTCAGGTGTGTCAGGGGGCTCTGTGTAGAAGTTGCCCCTAGACACTGATCTAAGACCAGCTTGCTCTTTGGGTTTTGTGGCGGGAAAGCTGATCCTAGACCTGTGCCTAAGGGAAACTTCTACACAGAGCCCCCTGACACCCCTGAAACATACATTTTAGTTCCTATGATTTGTGTGAGCAGTCTGAGTCAGAACAGGAGTCAACAGTACACATGAGTCATGACTAACCGTGCTGACACACCCTTCACCTACAGACTGTGTAATCACTTAGAAAGACTAATATCTTATACCTCAGAATACCTCAGGCCCCGTAATGCTTAGAGCCCTGACACGGCATGCAGGTTGATTCTAGTTTACATCCCCATACTGAATCAGAGTATCAGACAGTGTTTAAAAAAAAATCCTCCTCTGGCTGTTTTTAGCTGACGAGACGCAATGGTTTTGAGTAACCCCGATAGATGCATCCCGACTGACTGACAGAGGAGTCAAACTCACTGAACCCCACAGAGACGTAGCTAAAGCTCTTTGCTGATTCTGACACATCTAAGGTCTTCAAGTGTGGGAATAACTCAAGTGTACACGCGCACACACACAGTCAGCTTAGCCTCTGGGCCACAAGGATGAGAACCGCAGGCTTCAAAGAGAGAGGAGATGAGAGAGAGAGCCTCCATTGATTTTGGGGGAGAATGTCTACAAAGATGACTGAGTCAGAGTATAGGGAGAGATGGGATACTTTCTCTGACTGACTGTATTAAATTCTTAAAGGGGTTGTTATGATGTTGTTTTCATGGATGATGTTTATTCTAAACCAAGGTGTGTGTGTGTCATAAAGAATTGAAAATGTGTTTGTCCCTGATCTATGTGTGTGTGTTGTCATGACTGTTGTTAGTGAGCCTCCGTTCCACCTGACACGTCGTGGCTGGGGGGAGTTCCCTGTCCGCATCCAGATCCACTTCAAAGACCCCCGCAACAAACGCATAGACATCATACACCACCTCAAGGTCCGATTTGTAGATTCATTACAACTTTATTTGCACTGGAAATGCATGTTTCGTTCACAGAGGAGCACTGAAGCTGTTCTCTGAGTCTCTTTCTTCTGTCTCTCTGCGTCACTCTGTCTTCCACTCTCTGTCTCTTTCTTTCTTCCTCAAAAGAGGACTCTTGGATGCCAATTAAGTGAAGTGATTCTTTAAAGTTGTATAAGTCTAGCCTCTTGAGAATGTTCTGGTTTCTCACAGGCTTTTTGATTTCTTCATTAGTGAGACTCACTGATATGGTTTATTTTTTTTGACACAGTTTTGAATGTTTGTTTTTTCCTCACTGTTATTTTGTTACTCAGTCATTCTCTGTCTCTATGTAAAAATACATCATAAATCCTACTGTCTTTCCATTTCTCCCTGTAGCTAGACAGAACTTACACAGGCCTGCAAACACTGGGGGCAGAAACGGTAAGTCTGTTATTCATTTACTATGTTCAAACTTCTCTATCAAATCTACTAGCAAGACACCCGACTTACATTTCATGCGACCATAGCCCCAGCATTGATCTCAAACTTGACTCGTTCTGTTGAATACACCGTTTTTTTTACCACTGTGAAATCTGACCCTTGAACTCACTCTCCACTCAGGTGGTGGATGTCGAGCTCCACAGGAACTCCCTGGGGGACGACTATGTGCTCTCTTCCTCCCATGCCCACCACCACCAGCGTGCAGCCAGCCCCTCGTCACCCTCCTTCCTGCCCCAAACCCCAGGTCCCCTCTCTGGCCGCTGCAGCTCTCCACTCCCCCTCTCACAGGACAACCACCCCACCATCGCAGAGAAAGGTGAGATACATGGTAGGTTGTATTCTGTTCTACATTCAAGTCTCCTTTTTACTCACCTGTTCTATCAGCTAGGGATGTGACTGAGACTTTAAACTCTAGTCAACACCAAGGTACCCCCCCACTCCCCCCTCGGGTGCACGTTTTGGTTTTTGCCATAGCACTACACAGCTGATTGAAATAATCAGAGCTTGATGATGAGTTGGTTATTTGAATCAGCTGTGTAGTGCTAGGGCAAAAAACTAAACGTGCACCCAGGGGGGACCCCAGGGCTGTATTTGGGGAAACCCTGGTCTACACTATAGAAGATGTGAACTGCAGAACTGTAACTGTTTGCATTGGAATTATGTCAATTTCATCTCCTATTCAGTGAATCACGACCAGCCCAAGTGGGCCATGATTTTCTGTCATTTCTCTTTTTTGTTTCTTTAAATCCTTTCCTCTGCAGGCCTATAGTGAATTATTGATGACGCTGGACTGAGAAACACTCTGCCTCTCTCTCTCTCCCTATCTCTCTGTGCCAGGATGAGGGTAATTATAATGTAGATTATGCCCAGAGTGGTTTTTTAATGGTTATCATCCTCTTTCTCTCTCCTCTCTCTCCCTTTCTTTCTCTTTATCCTCCCTTTCCGTCCAGGTTTGCCCATCAAAGCAGAGGCAGGGAGGTCTGGGGTGTACAGCGCACCCCCCTCAGCTTCAGAACGCACCCCATCCTGGCCTAAAGTCACAGAGAAGATCACACTGGGTTCCCATGGCAACTCGGCCTTCCAGCCAATCACGGCCAGCTGTAAGATCATCCCCCAGGGACAGGTGCCCAGCCCCTCCGAGTCCCCCGGGAAATCCTTTCAGCCAATCACCATGAGCTGTAAGATTGTGTCAGGTGACTATCTCACAATGGGATCTGGCGGTATTGGAGTGGAGGGAGGGACGGGAAGGAGTTGTTGAATGATTCAGTACTTTTATTTAGATTTTTGTTTTCATAGTCACTCTTAGTGTCAGTGGAGACATTTGTTTGATTTGTTTCGTTATTCAATATTTTTTGGAAGAAACTATACGTCAATCTCAGTTTAAAAACACTCTCTTTTTTACATTTTACATTTTAGTCATTTAGCAGACGCTCTTATCCAGAGCGACTTACAGTTAGTGAGTGCATACATTTTTTCATACTGGCCCCCCGTGGGAATCGAACCCACAACCCTGGCGTTGGAAGCGCCATGCTCTACCAAGTGAGCTACAGGAGACCTATATCTTTTAAGATTGAAAAGGTTTAAATTTCAAAGTGCCTTAAGGAAATCTTTAGATCGATTTTTGTTTATGGGCAATTTTTTTGGAAGATACAGAGCTTTACAAAAATGTGTGTTTTAAAATGAATATCTTTATAATGAGCATGTTTGTGATTTTGTTTTGATCCCAAAGGTTCACCCATCTCCACACCCAGCCACTCGCCCCTCCCCCGTACCCACACCTCCACCCCGGTACACAACAAACAGGGCTCCTCCGTACTCAACAACCCTTACATCATTGTCGACAAGCCCGGCCAGGTCATCGGCATGGCAGCGAACTCCGGCACCTCCACAGGTATGTTACTGCTCCGCTCTACTGCTCCACTCTTGCCCCTAGATTCTAGACACTGATCTAGGAACAGTTTAGCTGGTTTTCCCTAATAGTTAAAGTTGTGATTTGGGTTGGGTTTTTGGGTTAGCTCCTGCAGCACAATTTAAGACTGTATTGTAGACTCTGTGCCTCCCACACAGCACATGATAATGGTGTTTTAGGCTCTCCTCAGCCACTGTATGGCCAACACTCCCCTCCCACACACCAGCGTTACAAACACCCCAAGGCTGAATCTAGTGCACTCTTACTTCGCTCCTCTCCTCCTCTGATACTAATAAACCTCCACAGTTGACTATATTCTCTAACGTTCCTAAACATGAACGCTTACTGTTGTCATTTTTACATTTACATTTTAGTCATTTAGCAGACGCTCTTATCCAGGGCGACTTACAGTTGTCCCCTCTCTCTCTCTCTCTCTCTCTCTCTCTCTTAGTCTCTCTCTCTCTCCCTCCTCCATCTCCTTCCACTCATAAATCATGACATGTGGTGAGGCTGCAGCATTTCGATGGTATGAGAGGGGCTTCCATGGTGACAGGAAGTACTGCTGTACTGCTCTGTTCCGTGGCTCAGGGTCAGGGACAGATTACAGGACAGTGAGGGGGGAGGGGGTTAGACATTCAGAGATGTGTGTGCTTGTGAGTTTGCTATAGCCCTCGCAGGTCTACAGCATGGGAGGCTGTGTGTGAGATTGAGGAACTCTTTTGTGTTTGTGTTTGTGTATATCAGGGATGGGTAACTTTGATGGGGGTGGGGGACACAAAATCTAAACTCATCATGAGGGGCTGCAGTGGCTCGCGGGTCTGCGTACCCACATGCATACCCACATGCATACCCACATGCATACCCACATATGCAGTCAGAGCCTATCACTAGCCTTTTGGGGGCCCTAAATGAAATTAGCATGGGGCGGAGAGAAAAATGTGCAGTTTTACAGCAAATGTCCTGCAATTCTACACATTTTACCATAGGTGGAGAGAAATGTTTGCAGTTTTTAATATGATATCGGAGTGAGAGTGACTAACAATATCAATGGACGACCCACGGTTGGTAATTCGACCATGATTACTGCAAGTTTAGATAGCTGGCTAGACTAGCTTACCAATCTATTTGAGTGAATGTCAGTGATTGACATAAGAGATAAACTGCTGATGCACAACCAAAGTTCGAAACTGTATTATACTATTCTACAGTAAATTGAGACCCCGACTGAGTTCCCCAAAAATATATATACAGTACCAGTCAAAAGTTTAGACACACCTACTCATTCAAGGGTTTTTCTTTATTTTTACTATTTTCTACATTGTAGAATATTAGTGAAGACATCAAAACCATGAAATAACACATATGGAATCATGTAGTAACCAAAAAAGTGTTAAACAAATCAAAATATATTTTAGATTCTTCAAAGTAGCCACCCTTTGCCTTGATGACAGCTTTGCACACTCTTGGCATTCTCTCAACCAGCTTCATGAGGAATGCTTTTCCAACAGTCTTGAAGGAGTTCCCACATATGCTGAGCACTTGTTGGTTGTCTTTTCCTTCACTCTGCGGTCCAACTCATCTCAAACCATCTCAATTGGGTTGAGGTTGGGTGATTGTGGAGGCCAGGTCATCTGATGCAGCACTCCATCACTCTCCTTCTTGGTAAAATAGCCCTTACAAAGCCTGGAGGTGTGTTGGGTCATTGTCCTGTTCAAAAACAAATGATAGTCCCACTAAGCGCGAACCAGATGGGATGGCGTATCGCTGCAGAATGCTGTGGTAGCCATGCTGGTTAAGTGTGCCTTGAATTCTAAATAAATCACAGACAGTGTCACCAGCAAAGCACCCCCACACCATCACACCTCCTCCATGCTTCACGGTGGGAACCACACATGCAGAGATCATCCGTTCACCTACTCTGCGTCTCACAAAGACATGGCGGTAGGAACCAAAAATCTCAAATTTGGACTCATCAGACCAAAGGACAGATTTCTACCGCTCTAATGTCCATTGCTCGTGTTTCTTGGCCCAAGCAAGTCACTTCTGCTTGTTGGTGTCCTTTAGTAGTGGTTCCATGTATCAGTGTCAGTCTGAAGTGGAGCACAGTGAAATCGCATTCTCCCACTGCTGAACTTCAGCCCTTTCTAGTTCTCATTCACATTCCAGTCATGTGCTCTGCTCTCCCACACAGCCTCTCCCATATCCCAGACATCCACCAACGCTTAGTTTTAACTGATCCAGGACGGGCGGAGGGGTTTAAAGTGTCCCATGTTATTTCAAGCTGGAGGATTGATGCTGATGTGGGAGTCAGAGCTGATTCACTAGTCTCTTAAACAAACAGACGTTTTGGTGCTGAAACTAAGGCCATAGCTTTTAGCTTTTAGGCAATACCTTAGTTTCTCTCTTTCTCTCAATAGCTTAGTTTTAGTGCTGTAACCCACCTAAAGCTTTTGAATTCAATATCATTGTGAACCAGACCGATGCCATTACCAGGACCCAGTGTCAGGCAGTGACCAAAATACATTTTGATTAATTGATTGATGGCCTCTGTCTTACAGGAAGTACCACAGCCAAGCAGTTGGTTGCGGCCCAGGGCACTCGCTCTCCGGCCTCCAAGGTTCACACAGGAAGCTTCCTGTCCTCAGGGGTCAAGGTGAGTTACACAGAGGTGACATAGAGATCGCTCAAAGGTCAATGGAGTAAAAGTCTTGTCGTACATTCAAGATATTCAGGAAAACCTTTTAATGGCCAGGGCCCGTTTTCCCAAAAGCATCTTATGGCTAAGTTAATTGTTAGAACCTTCATAGGAGTATCGTTAAATCTCTGAACGCTCGTAATCTAACGCCTGCCTCAGACAACTCGTAAAACAGCTAAGTGCGTCGTTGCATGCTTTTTTGTGCTCCACATTATACACAGATAAACATAGAATCACATGGTTTATCCGTTCTCTGTGACCGCTGCTTCAAATACGAAGTTGCCAATGTGCAATTGATATACACAAGCAAAGTAAAATAATGCTTCAAATGAAAACCGAGATGACTGCATTAAAAAATAAATGCAGTAGGCTACAGGCCTATTTCAATCATATTGAAAAACATTTCATATAAAAAGAAAATTGCTACTTGTAGGCTACTGTCTGTAATTTCTCATGATGTTGTAGCCTAACATCTGCACAATGATGTGCCAAATCAGTGATTTAGTGAATTGTTATTGGGTAAGCGTAGCATATGATCAAGCCGCTTCAATATTTGCAGCTGATCCGTCATCAGTATTGTGAAATAATTATAATGTTAAGGTAAGATTTGAACGGAGAAAGCTGACCAAGTGAATCCAGGTGAAAGCTATGATCCCTTATTAATGCCACTTCAATCAGTGTAAATGAAGGGGAGGAGACAAGTTAAAGAATGCTTTTGAGACATGGATTGTGTATGTGTGTCTTTCAGAGTGTGAATGGGCAAGACAAAATATTTAAGTGCTTTTGAACGGGCTATGGTAGTAGGTGTCAGGCGCACTGGTTTGTGTCAAGAATTGCAATGCTGCTGGGTTTTTCACGGTCAACAGTTTCCTGTGTGTACAATGGCTTGCGAAAGTATTCACCCCCCTTGGCATTTTTCCTATTTTGTTGCCTTACAACCTGGAATTAAAATTGATTTTTTGGGGGGGTTTGTATCATTTGGTTTACACAACATGCCTACCACTTTCAAAATGGAAAATATTTTTTATTGTGAAACAAACTAGAAATAAGACAAAAAAACTGAAAACTTGAGCGTGCATAACTATTCACCCCCCTAAAGTCAATACTTTGTAGAGCCACCTTTTGCAGCAATTACAGCTGCAAGTCTCTTGGGGTATGTCTCTATAAGCTTGGCACATCTAGCCACTGGGATTTTTGCCCATTCTTCAAGGCAAAACTGCTCCAGCTCCTTCAAGTTGGATGGGTTCCGCTGGTGTACAGCAATCTTTAAGTCATACCACAGATTCTCAATTGGGTTGAGGTCTGGCCTTTGACTAGGCCATTCCAAGACATTTAAATGTTTCCCCTTAAACCACTTGAGTGTTGCTTTAGCAGTATGCTTAGGGTCATTGTCCTGCTGGAAGGTGAACCTCCGTCCCTGTCTCAAGTCTCTGGAAGACTGAAACAGGTTTCCCTCAAGAATTTCCCTGTATTTTGCGCCATCCATCATTCCTTCAATTCTGACCAGTTTCCCAGTCCCTGCCGATGAAAAACATCCCCACAGCGTGATGCTGCCACCACCATGCTTCACTGTGGGGTTCTCGGGCTGATGAGAGGTGTTGGGTTTGCACCAGATATAGCATTTTCCTTGATGGCCAAAAAGCTCAATTTTAGTCTCATCTGACAAGAGTACCTTTTTCCATATGTTTGGGGAGTCTCCCACATGGTTTTTTGGCGAACACCAAACATGTTTGCTTATTTTTTACTTTAAGCAATGGCTTTTTTCTGGCTCTCTTCCGTAAAGCCCAGCTCTGTGGAGTGTAAGGCTTAAAGTGGTCCTATGGACAGATATATTATTATTATTATTATTATTTGTTGTCTCTCGGATTAATGCCCTCCTTGCCTGGTCCGTGGGTTTTGGTGGGTGGCCCTCTTATACATATATATATTTTATATATACCCTCTCTTGGCAGGTATATTCTTTACTTTTTTCTTTTTTTTCCCTTCTAAAATAATTTTTTTGTACTTTACCCCCTTTTTCGCTCCAATTTCGTGGTATCCAATTGGTAGTTACAGTCTTGTCCCATCGCTGCAACTCCCATACGGACACGGGAGAGGCGAAGGTCGAGAGTCATGCGTCCTCCGAAACACAACCCAACTGAGCCGCACTGCTTCTTGACACAGTGCCCGCTTAACCCGGAAGCCAGCCGCATCAATGTGGCGGAGGAAACACCGTACACCTGGCGACCGAGTCAGCGTGCACTGCGCCCGGCCTGCCACAGGAGTCGCTAGTGCGCGATGCGAAATCCCTGCCGGCCAAACCCTCCCCTACCCTGGACGGCGCTGGGCCAATTGTGTGCCGCCCCATGGGTCTCCCGGTCGCGGCCGGCTGCGACAGAGCCTGGACTCGAACCAGGATCTCTAGTGGCACAGCTAGCACTGCGCCACTCGGTAGGCCATATTCTTTCAATTTTTTAATAATGGATTTAATATTGCTACGTGAAATGTTCAAAGTTTCGGATATTGTTTTATAACCCAACCATGATCTGTACTTCTACACAACTTCGTCCCTGACCTGTTTGGAGAGCTCTTTGGTCTTCATGGAGCTGCTTGCTTGGTGGTGCCCCTTGCTTAGTGGTGTTGCAGACTCTGGGGCCTTTCAGAACAGGTGTATATATGGGTCATTCTACAGATTCGGTGCCTTTTGTGATTGAGGAGGATGAAACAATGAACATTAAAATCTTAAGCTTTTTTTTATTTGATGTGACAAAGTAATGTGTGTACTTGATAGAAAATACCTTTTCCCATCTCAATGTAGAGTATTAAGTTATTATTCTGTATTATTTTCTCAAACAAGTCCCAATTTAATTCAACCCCGTCACAGTCATTTTGTTATTCAACTATTCATTTTTCCAATAAGCTTGAGATCAGCTTCTGGCATAATCTCACAGTTTAGATGTCCCTTGTAAATAATGGCATATTGTAATTAAAGAGAAAATCAAGAAAAACTGACCAGCACCATCCTTTCCAGTTTACGATGAAGAAATGTCTAATCTAACTCCACATTTTCGCAAGAAATGTGCAAGAATGCTGCGTAATTCCTGACAAAATTGAAATAGCCTTATTTACCCTGATTTAATACACACAATAAAAACACTATTGATGTTATATTTTGTGTATTTAATACAAAAATGTAAAAAAATAATCTCGTAACAGGGATGAATGCACCGCAACAGGGTTGAAAATCATGTAACAGGGTTGAGTGAAAAGCATCACGTGTCATATGTTTTATCTTTTGAGATCACTAACAGGTTGCCATTTTTTAAACATTTTAAACATTTTTAAACCTACTGTCAACATAGCTTTTAAAATCTAAAGAATCTAGATGAAAGCTAGACAGAGTAAAACACATTAATGAACTAATAACAGTAACAACATTTCATTGATTTCATAAAAATATCCATCTGATAATGGCAGGAGTCTGTTTGAACATTGAGCAAACATCTTAACATTGATAACCTATATAGGTCACATGTTGCCATTTTTTAACATTTTAAACTACTGTCAACATAGCTTTTAAAGTTTAAACAATCAAGATGAAATCTAGACAGATTAAAACACATTAATAAACTAACAACAGTTACAACATTTCATTGATTTCATAGAAATATCCAGAGTAATGGCAGGAATGTCTGTGTTGTTTGAATGTTTGAACATTAAGCAAACATCTTAACATTAATAACCTATAGGTAAGCCTACAGTTTGTTCACCATTTTTACTGAGAGAGCCTAGCCCACACTTCCTTCTGTATTTCCATGTGCCTAGAAGTCACCGGTTTAGGGGGATCAATGTGTTCGAAGATGTCCTCAAATGGATACCACAGGATATCATCAAGAAGTGGCCAGAAGTACCTATTTGGTCCAGCACAGCACATTAATTTGACCTGCACATGGGATTCATCTGTGGCTAGAATTATTCCGGGATAGAAATCGTCATCATATTTGGCCACGCACCATTTCCCGCATATGTCTGGATTTGCCCAATCAACCTCCCTCTGTGACACGACTGATGTAACTTTAGGGGTAAATGTGAAATGTTGTGTATTGAAACACTGGCATTCCAGTTTCTTGTTGTGGACTGTGCACATACAGCTTACATCACGGTAGGCAATTTGCCTTGCAGCCACACAAACAACTTGGTGGATCCGCATTGTGGATGGAACTACTGGCAAATCTTTGCCTTTCTGCTGCTGTTTTTGCCATTGTTGAATCTGAAATTGTAGGTCAAGGTCAAGTCAATGACCAGTTTACTCTCCAAAACTAATTACTGTATCCTTTTAATCACTATGTAGTAAAATGAACGTGAACTTGCAGATAATACTCCTAAATATGTCAGTACAAACCAGTCGGCTAGTGAACATGAACCCCTCACGCACCAGTTGCCAAGGCAGTATACTGTATGTCTTTTTAGACTAGTCTTCATTTACATTCTCTAGTCTTTTTATGCATTACCAAATTATGCTTTAAAGCAACAAAACTTTATTTTCTGTTGATTGTGTGTCCATGACCACCACCACCTCGTGTCTTAAAGATCTTACATTTCCAGGAGAATTACCTGACCACCGGCGCGCGGATGTCCCTCACCTTCCTCTCTATGTGTGTTTCCTTTCTGCTGCTGTTTTTTCCATTGTTGAATCTGAAATTGTAGGTCAAGGTCAAGTCAATGACCTGCTTACTCTTCAAGACTAAATATTGTATCCTTTTAATCACTATGTAGTAAAATGAACATGAACTTGCAGATAATACTCCTAAATATGTCAATGTATATAGGAGAGAGAACAAATTAATTGTCACTTTTTTTAAGTTATTATTTTCAAAAATTCCTCTTACTTTTAGTTGATACTGTAAAACCGTAAACAACAAACATTCAACAAGAAAATATGATTGGTATTAAGCAATATACATTAAATATTGCTAAGATTTAACAGCTATTCAACCCTGTAA